GATGAGAGGAGGAGGAGGAGGAGGAGGAGAGATACGCGTGGTGACTGATGAATGGGGGATCCAGCCCCAGAGGCAGAGGAAGGGAATGCATAGCACTTGTGGTGCCACATGTATGAACCAGCACAAACCTCCAAACTGAGGTTCATGCCCATCTCTAGCCCTTACTCTTAGGAAATTTCTCTATAGCAGGGGTCCCAAATCTTGGGTAACTCAGATGCTCTTGGACTGCAAATCCCAGAAACTCCGGGCAGCACAGCTGGAGGCAAAGGCTTCTGAGAACTGTAATACAAAGCCACCCAAGTTACCCAAGGTTGGGAACCACTGCTCTGCAGCATCAAGCTGCCTTATCTTCCAAGGAGCAGCCCTTCTCTCCATCAAATTTAACACACCTATGCTCTCATCAACAACAACTCTCTAGGCTTATCTTGCCCTTTACATTCAGCTGAAAGTCCCCTGCACAATGCATATTGCTTAAGGACGCCTAAGCTTAAAGGACCTCCTCTGTTTTTCAGAAGAACCCTGAAGTTCCCAACCAGAGCCAGGTGCAAAAGAATGACTTAAGAAGGCAGACACACAAAGCAAGATGCCTCCAAGTATCTCAGCCAAGGATTACAGTACTTTGTAGTTCAAGACCAGAACTGGAGGCACTCTTAATTTCAGTAGGCTAATTTAAGAGGAAGAAATTGTGTGTGTGTGTGTGTGTTTTTGCTGCTGCTGTTGTTCTTACTGCAGTTTATATAATTAGTTGCTCCTCTATTCAGTTGAGCCTTTGACTCAGGAACCTTTAGTGGATTAAGTGTAAATCATCTATGCACCTACCATTAGATCCTGGTTTACTTCTTTTCGTTTCTGTTAAGATACTGTACTCATTTACTCTTCAACAGTTTGTCCTGTTCAAGTTTGTAAAGGAGGCCATACTAGGAGACAGACCGTAAGATTTTCTTGAAAGTTTAATTTTTGAAGTTTAAAACAATGGGAAGCTAATCGGTAAAATAAGAGCCAATGGGCTGCATAAAACAGACTGTTTGGTACCCAAGACTGGGAATGAGAGACACTATAATTTGGGCTCTTAGAGCAGGGGTTCCCAACCTTGGGGCAAAACAGATGTTTTTTGACTGTAATTCCCAGAAGCCTTCGCCACCACACGTGCTGACTGGGGTTTCTGCGAATTGCAGTCCAACAGGTGAGTTACCCAAGGAAGGGAAACACTGTATCAGAGCAAAAGTAGGATCCAAATGTATTCCTGTATGTAGGAATACTGAACTCATCCCTACACGATTGCAACTGGGTATCCCTTAGACACCCAAGAGCACCACCCAAACCAAGCAAGCAAAATACTGTACAGTACTCGGCTTGGGTGAATACCAACATTCACAAATGCAGGAGCAGGTGATGCCTTTAAGAAAATACAGTATATATACTGTGTGTGTGTGTGTGTGTGTATATATATATATATATGGTGGTGATGGGGCAATGGCTGCCTGGGTCTCTCAACAAGAACACGCAGCGAGAGATTTTATGTCCTGAGGTCCCCTTTACATTTGGCAGTCCAGACCCAAGTCGGACTTCAGCTCCCAGGATGCCTCGCGACGAACTGTAATGGCTGGGGTTTCTGGAAGTTGAAGTCGGACATCTGCAGACTACAGTAAGTTTTGCAACCAGGAAGCGAAGTGATTTTTTAAAGCAGCAACCATATTTACTGTCACTTAATTGGCTGCAACAGAGGCGGCGGCGGCTATGCACGCTCCCAGGCTAGTCTTTTCAAAATAGGATTTTCCCGCCTTCTGTAGGAGCCGAGGCTGGGAGGCTTCCCTTCCTCCAGGCTGGGTGGATTTTCAGGAGCGGGGCCAGCAGATCCCCGCAACGGTAGGGGTAGAGTCAAAGCTGTCCGGTCCTCACGATCCTGCTGGGCTGTGCCCGACCACTCCTGACACGAGGTACACGTGAAAGCAAAGGAGGCTGAACAGCCGCGCCGAGAGGAACCAGCGCCCGGGGCTGTCCGTTAGCGCACCGGCGAGGGAGGACTCCACTGGGGAGACCCAAAGCAGCGGCGGGAGCAGGATATCCACTGGCAGCCCCTATTCCCTCCATTAACTCACCCCAAGAACATGATCGTCTGAAAGCGAAAGGAAGGCGATAGCAGCGCGTCTTCCGGGGAAACTCCTTTCCGGCGCTGTTGAGGCTCCCCTTCGGTTGCTCTTTGCGTACAAAGAGCCGGAGGGGAGGGAACGTCTGAACGAGCCAACCTCTCTAGGACGTTATAGGGTTGGTATAAATCAGCCGCCTTTCAAAGTCACGCTTACGACACGGAAGTTGCGACCACGGGTCGACCTGCATGGCGGAGTTTTTGTACGTCTTGCTTGTCGGCTGCCTGCCCTTCACAAGCAAAGTTGGGCTACTCTCCCCGAAAAGGCTTCGGGCGGCTTTTTTAATTTTCTCTCCCCCCCAAAAAAGCCAAGCTCTACCCTACGGGCATCTTAAGTTACACACGCCACATACATCCTGCCAGATGGGATACAGAGGTGGCAAAATGTCGCTTTGTTACGCTTATCTGACGCAGGCATCAGTGATCCGAGCGGGTCTCGAATAAAATCCTATTTTCCTGTATTAAAAGGGTCCGATATTTCATAAAGCACAAACGGCTATCTTTGCTGCCAGGAGGGAAGGAAGCCAGATGAAAAATCCTTGTTTCCTACGCGCTTCTGCTTCTTTTATCACTTTACGGAAGAGCGCGGAGGCTTCAAAAACAACTAGGAAATCTCTCCACGGACGAAACTCGCCCTTTGTCACATCGTTTGCCCATTTCAAGGTGGCGGGGAGTATAAATGGGGAAACGGGGGTCCTTTGCGACCCAATTCAAAGATGTCGGCCCGTGGCGCCCCGTTTACATAAAGGACATCCGGGTATTGTAAACCGACAGGCATTCATGTGTCACGAAGGGCTATATTGAGGGGCGGAAATATAATACGTGTGGGAAAGTACAGTCCTATGCAATTAATAGAGCAGTCAGATACAATGCCATATAGGTAGAGGGGAGAAATGATGAAACTGAGGTGGGCCTCCTTTGAGCACTTCATGAGAAGGCAGGATTCTTTAGAACAGAAAATAAGACTTGGGAAGGTGGAAGGCAGCGGGAAAAGAGGAAGACCAAATAGGAGATGGATGGACTCTCTAAAGGAAAACACAGGCTTGAGTTTGCAAGTGCTGGGCAGGGCTGTTGAAGACAGGACATTTTGGAGATAAGGTCACCATAAGGTGGAGGTTGTTGTTGTTTAGTCCTGTCCTACTCTTTGTGACCCCCATGGACCTGAGCACGCCAGGTCCTTTTGTCTTCCACTGCCTCTCGGAGTTGTGTCAAATTCATATCGGTAGCTTCGATGACACTGTCCAGTCATCTCATCCTCTGCCGTCCCCTTCTCCTCTTGCCTTCACACTTTCCCAACATCAAAGTCTTTTCCAGGGAGTCTTCTCTTCTCATGAGATGGCCAAAGTACTGGAGCCTCAGCTTCAGGATCTGTCCTTCCAATGAGCACTCGGGGTTGATTTCCTTTAGAATTGATAGGTTTGTTCTCCTTGCAGTCCAGGGAACTCTCAGGAGTCTCCTCCAGCACCACAATTCAAAGGCATCAATTCTTCGGCGGTCAGCCTTCTTTACGGTCCAGCTCACACTTCCATACATCACTACAGGAAAAACCATAGCTTTGACTATTCGGACTTTTGTTGGCAAGGTGATGTCTCTGCTTTTTAAGATGCTGTCAAGGTTTGTCACTGCTTTCCTCCCAAGAAGCAGGCATATTTTAATTTTGTGGCTGCTGTCATCATCTGCAGGGATCATAGAGCCCAGGAAAGTAAAATCTGTCACTGCCTCCATATCTTCCCCTTCTATTTGCCAGGAAGTGATGGGACCAATGGGCCATGATCTTAGTTTGTTTGTTTTTTAATGTTGAGCTTACAACAAGTACTGTAGAATAAAACAGTTACAATTTAACAACAGTTTACAGCAAATAAACAATCATTCAAGATGGAAGGGAAAAAGAAAAGATAGATCAAGTGGTGCTTGGAGGGAAGGCCTGCCTAAAATTCACCAGTTGCTTCAGGAAAGGAGTGATGAAAAACTTGTACAGAAACTACATTGATACCTGTTACATAGGTACTGTGCATGCAGAAATTTAATATTCTAGAAAACACCCTGGACCAACAACTTCCAAGTAGAACAGATTGTTCACCTGAGGCTAGATAGGAGTGATGGGAAAAGATTCATAATTTCCACATAATCCATCTTTCCTATTTACTCAGCAAAAAGTAACTATCACATCTTTGTATCTGGAAGGTAGAGTTTTGTGACTGTTCCATTGCTCCCATCTAAATACATGAGACTGGTGAATTTCTTTACTGTACTATTCACAAGCTGTTGTTTCAAACTTTCCAGAATACAACTTTTGTATGTTTTTGCTTAGCATGGTTATAACAATCTGGGGTTTTGGGACATTTTGAGACTTGTTATATCACTTCCACCTAGTTATATGTGACCAACAAATCTGTTTGACATGGCCTACTGAGAAGTTGCTATTTTGGGCTTGCTTCCTGAATATGGACATTTTATGCAGAACAGATGAAGGATAGGAACACAGTGGAAATTTTATGGCTTGTTTCATCACACACACACCAATTTCCAGTCATCTGTCATTGAAGAATTTGGTTGATCTGGCCTACTTGGAAGTTGCTGTTCCAGACTGTTTGCCAGAATGCTTACTTTCCCCCAGGACAGATATTGGTTTGTGAATTCTGTGAAAGTTTGCTAGTTTGTTCCATCATTTTACTTTTATTTATTTAAAAATATTTTTATCCCATCTTTATCCTTAAAAAGGCCCAGAGCAGTTTACACAATTAAAATGACAGTATTTTAAAGCTAAAGGAGAATACAAATATTTAAAAAAAGTTAAACTAGTATTATATTAAAATGATAAATAAAACCGGTACTAAAGCACCTTTAAAACAAGAGAGCAACACTCCATTAAAAAACGCCGCTCAGACCACCAATCACTAAGGGAAAGCCTGCCTTTAGAGAAAGGTCTTTGCCTGCCTCTGGAAGGACAGCAAAGATGGGGCCAGCCTGGCCTCCTGTGGGAGGGAGTTCCAAAGGCTGAGAGCACTAACAGAGAAGGCCCTCTCTCGTGTCCCCATAAGACACACCTATGAAGGTGTGTTCGACATGTCCCAATGCTTATTTGGTAATGGACTTTGGTAACATAAGACCCGTTATTATACTAATTTTG